TACTGGAAGCGCGAAGATGACCTCTTCTCTTCGCTCTCCTTATCGTTTCCCTTGTTGCAATCTGGGCAGAACTTGCGACTAAAACCCAGCTTGCCACAAGCGGAACACTGGAGAGGCTTAGTAAAGTTTATCTTCCGCCTCTGTCCTTCTCGCCGCTCGCCAGGAGACCTGGAAGAAGGAGAATTTTTCCTTCCTCCACGCCATCGGCTCTTACGCTGTTCTGGAGGGCTGCCTTGCTTGTCAGTGGCCAACTTGCGCAATATCCGCTCGATGCCCTCCAGACGTTCTTCCATCTTCTTATCAGAAGTGAAAGCTTGCGTAGCCGATACCGATGCTTGTTCGGTAGGCCTCCTGGCGGGGTTCTCCACGCCCAGTCCGCGCTGCGGATCTCCCTCCTGCTTCACACGCGCCTTCCCTTCGCTTGCCATTGCAGCGGTTTGGGATTTACTACCAGCCGTTCTTTTGCTCGGCTGGTAGGCATGCTGAGGGAAGATCGTCGAGCTGGGGTCAGCGAATACACGTGGACGGCGACCATAAGATAAGGTGTTCTGTACCTCGGTCGCCCTCCTGTTGAATTCGCGTATCGACGTCATCTCGCTACGACGCAGCTGGATTTGGATTCTTGGAAGGAGGTTTGCATGGAGTAGGTCTAATAACCTCTCCAAGGGCATGGGCGGTTCTAGTCTATTGACAAGAGCCACCAGGTTGGACACGTAATCTCGCACTAGTTCGTCCTCACCCTGGAACCTGTTCTGGGCTTCCTGCAACAGCCTTTGTTACTGTTGCGTACTTGTGCCAAACCAATCCCGGGCGTCCGCGACGAACTCGTCATAACTGAGCCACTGGTACTTGTTGTTATCGTACCAGGTCCTCGCGTTACCTTCGAGGATCTCTGATACGGAACAAAGCACTTCGTCGTCAGTTAGTCCTGCACCTACGCGCAGATCCTCCAACCTCGACAGAAACGTATCTACGCTCTGTGCCCTACTGCCCGCAAACCTCAATTTCCATCAATTTTCTCAACATCTTAGGTTGTGGAGAGCCCTGAGAATATCTGCTGTCCGGTGCCAGATGATCCGCTTCGACTCCTCTGTCGAACGGGTGCGGATCTCCCATAAACTTCCGGATCCTTTTCACCTCCTCTTTGTTGGAGGACTTCCGGTGTGGTGACGTCCCTTCTCCTAGGTATTGGTCTTGGAGGAACCGGTGTACTCCCCGGAATCCCCGAGTCGTAGTGACAGGTGAATGTGTCCTGAAAGTCCACATTACGTCCGGAGCGCGGTTGAACCGAGTCACGCTGAGAGGCACGGTTAGCACTGGCCATATCATGCATTGCGTCTTCCAACTCTCGAATTCGTATGCGCATGTCCTGCGCCTCGCGCTCCGCACACACCTGTAATCCCTGCAGAGTCTGAAGGGTTTCTAGGATTCGACCTACCAACTTTTGGTTATGGTCTACTCCCTCCTTCAGATACTCTATTTCCCGGAAGGCTTCACTCAAGGATAATTCTTCCTGAGGTTCCTTCCGAGTGCAGGATTCCTGCGACCTGGGATCCGGATTGCTCTGTCTCCTCTCCCTCTCCTCCTGCTTTTGCGTGCGGAGGGCCTTCTGGATGAGTTCATCCTCTTCTTGGCGGCTGGCTAAACCCTCAGAATCCTCATCCGGGCAGGTGAATGTCCTTGACATATCAGTCAATGATATTCCCTCCCTATTGATGATCCTGAGGGGATGGTCGCTGTTATCATCCGCGTTGGAGTTTTCCAACTCGTCACAGACTGTGTCGAGCCACGCTTGTCGGGCTCGCCTCCTGCGCCCCGCCACCTCTTTGCTGTGCGTGGTCTCTTGAAAATCTGTGGCGGTGTACTCACCCAGCAACCATCTCCCAAGCCTAGCCGCCTGTTGGATGACACTTCCATCCTTGCGCAGCTCCAAATCCGCTAAATAGTGTTCGCGCTGTGCGGAGGTCAGCTCTAATGCCCAATTGTCGATTTGAGCTGACAACAGAGCCATCTTGCCTCCGCACGGGTGTAGGATGCGGTTGAGGTTTAAAATTTCGGCCTAATCGACCACTACCGCTTCCTATCACCCAAGGTATGAGCGGGGTGTACACTATTTAGTGTTACTACTTTTAATGCCTCCTTTTATAAGGCCTTTTAAAAGGAGATTATGAGCGCGTGCAGTCTCCGCAAACTTTCTATAAATATTATAAAAATATCCTACCTAAGGTCGGAGCCTGCTGTTTGCTTGCTCCGCCTGGCTAATATTTGGACTGCACGCTTGGGTCGCGCTCTCTGCTTTATCGTTGATCAGGTGCTACCAACCCCCCTTTATCCACCAAACTGTAGCTGAAATAGGTTAACACCTGATTATCCCGTACGATCTGAAATCACTTCGAACTACCAATAATTATTGCTTTCGGCCCTTTTTACACTAATCATAACAATTTTTAACAAAAGGTTCGAAGTGGTTTCGTTTTTTCCCCAGCAGAAGGCGTACCGCTCACGATCTCGCTCTACCACCCGCTCAAACCTTCCTAAGCGCTCGCGCAATCGTCTCTCTCTCTCGTGCGTCGATTACCTTCGACGCACAATCCTATTCGCACGACACGGGTCTTAATACCAGTTGGGCGCCATGTAACGGGTGGGATAAATCTGCAAAATGAGAAATTTATTTAAGAGCAAACTCCCACGATGCAGAGCAAACCGCCGCTCCGTTAACACGTATGTTAATACGTGTATTCGCCTTAACGTCAGCTGCCTTAACTTAGTTGTCTGCGATCAAGCAGAGTTGAACTCACCTTAAGTCACGTGCCTTGTGATACTCTATGAGTTTTAAGTGTAATCGACTTTGCTCCTAATCCACTTAATCCCCTAGCTATAATCGGATTAAAACCTAAGCCTTTTTCAATTGTTTAAACTATTAGGAAAAATTATATGACCAAATCGGCGAATAAGTTTAATAGATTTTATTAATAAAAAATCTCTACAGTCTTTGTCGGGCCGAAAGACTGACGCACACGAATAGGATTTACAATTAAATTACTTTCGGTGAGAAAGAGAGAGAGAGAAGATACGAATATTGGCGCGATCTAACGCTCGACGCGAATACAAAAAATTAACGCTAACACAGTTGGACAAAATATCAAATGTATTTTGTCACGCGATAATTAAGGGAGGTGCACCTACCCTGCGATGCAATTATGGTGATCAGCCGTAATTGTTCAAGCAAATTAAAGGTGCTCCTCAGATCAGAATCAGCTGTGCTTCCTCGTTCGCAAATCTGCTGTATAATTGCTGTCACTTTTGCTGCTGCTTCCGTGATGCTGCTACTGTTGCTGCTTCGTCGCTCACCCTTGCACACGTATCCAAAATCCAAGTAAACTATTTATTGGCAAATCGGTGAAACACTGTGCTAAACTATTTTGGCGGTACTACACACGTAACAGCTGAGATGTAACTGCTAATTTAAAAGATCGCGCGCCCCCTCTCTCTCTCAATACTTAGAACTAACGCGCGAAAATCAGAATCGCGAACGGTTCGATTAATTGAATCGACTACCGTTGCAGTTTATAAGCTTTATTCTTATCTTAATGAATTTTGACACTGTAAAAGCAAAAAATATTCTTTAATAGTGCATAGAGAAAAGTACAAAAGAATAATAACGTATATACCATTAGTAATATACTACTGCATGTTACACGAGAAATGCAAGTGATGAAAATAAGATTATTTATCATATGAGTATTTGCTTAATTTCATAATTAAGTATTATTATTTGAAGACGACAGTATCAAATAAAAATTTTCTTATTAAATATTTTCTAATAAACAATTTGAAGTTTTCAATCACTATACTAATTATATACACATCCATCGGTTCAGTAAAAGAAGGAATGATGCATTTTGCTAAATGAAAGAACTATGAAATGCTGAAATTGTTTTTTCACTGGAAAAATATACATAGACTCATTACATTTAATTTATGTATCTGTCCCAAAATCATTTGACGGTATAGTAATAATCAAAAGTATAAATAATTACACATTATAAATCAAATTATGGTTTTAGTAGAACTAATTACGACCATATTATAATTGAAAATGAACTAATCAGAATAGTGATATTATGAACTTGAAGGTTATAAATAATTTATTGAAAATCCAGTCAGCAATTTCTGTCTATACTTACATTTCATAAATAATGCTGTAAATTGAACGGTTAGATCTCTACTGAATAAAATTCTTGATTCGCGACAATTCTAATATTTTTAATAAAAAAAAGTCAACTGACTAATTTTTCTGGCATGATGAAAGAAACGTGGTCACTGGTCGTTACTATTTAAAATGGTTACTTTAATAGATGGCGCTGTATACACTTAATTTTCTGTCTCTGTTCTTTATCCTCTTTTTTTCTTTCTGAAGTATTATTTTTAAAAATAAATTGAATTAGACATTGGGAAAGGTGACTTACTTTTTATTGTTTCACAGATAACAGTCATGTTACATATAAACTTTTAAGAGATTATTTCGATGAAAAAATGTTTTCAATGGTAACACGTACATCTACACTTATAAGTATTAATTCTTTTATTTTATCATTAGTGACTATGATGATTATATCATTCAAATTGTTATCCATTGAAAATATTTTCATTTTAATATAATCTTTACAATATAAATTCAAGTTTCATCGCAATTTACTATGAAAGTATAAATAAATAATGAACTAAATATTAAATCTTCTAATGTAACGCACGTAATTAATATTTACTTAATTTGAAGTAGCACAATATAATATAAAGGCTCCAGTCAGGATAATACAAAATCTTTACATTTTAATAATGAACTGAATTGGAATATGAAATATTTGAATAAAATACGTAATAAATATTTATGTAATTTTAAGTAGAATAATATTTTAACATAAAAACTCTAGTTAGCATAACACAATAATGTATATATTTTTATATTAAATTTCAAAATAATATTCAAAGTAATCACATTGAGTTAGGTTAAAAAAGCTTTTACGTTAATCCAAATTAGAGACAGAGTAAAGTTGAAAGTTTTTGACGTTTTTAAAAGTAAAATTTTAAAATTAAAAATGTTCAAATTAAAAAAATATTGAAAGTAATGACATTGAGTTAGGTTAAAAGAGTTTTTACGTTAATCCAAATGATGACAGAGTAAAGTTGAAAGTTTTTAACCTTTTTTAAAAATATAAAGAAGAATCAAAATGATAACGATAAGTTAAAAGTTTTACGTTAAAGAATATGTAAAATCGAATTTTTTAAAAGAAAACTTAATCAAGCGCATCCTCATCTGTAGATTTCTCTAAAACCATTTTTATCTGGCTTTTTTTCTTAGCTGGCTCTTCAGAATCATTGGTTTTGTCCTCCAGAGGTTTTCTTGGTGTACGACATCCCTTGCGCAATTCTCCTTCACTTATTTTAGGTTCCCCTTGTAGGATTTTTATTTTACTCATGTCCGAACAGTGGATAGTTATTGGTATTTCTGAAATAGAAATAAAAATTAGTAATATTATTTACATTTATTCTAGAATTAAAATTGAAATTGAAAAAAAATAAATAAATAAAATTGCATAGTTACCAGTTGTCTTGAGCTCCCCTTCAAGTTCAATCTTAACTCCTTTTTCGATGTCTGAGCTGACGAAGTGAGCAATTTGTACATTTATCTTAAACGTTTTATCGGTTATAGCTCCACTGCCTCAGCTAGCTGTATTATTTTGATTAGTGATGAGAGAAAATTTAGTTTTCAACCAGCCCACAATCCCTGAAAAATAAATAAATAATTATTTTTTTATTACGAAAAAAAGAACAAATATTTTTCATGAGAAAAAGGAATTTTTCTTACTTATCGGCCCAAGCAAACCAACAGTGTCTGGAAAACTAACAGTTCTTGTAACGACATGAACTGGCTGATCATTAACATGAATGCCTAAAAACTTGACTGATGTAGCTTTTCCAACTATCAATTCATAATCGATCAATGCTTCATCTTTACGAAAATTGGAATTAGTCAACTTAGAAGTTGCTTTTTCCAAATGTACAATCTAAAAAGAGAATTACGCTTATTTTAATAAAATATGGTTATATAGAGATTAATTTGTATGCTTACCTTATTGATTGTTAACTGAGGTTGATATAATTCGATCAACTCTTTACCCCAGGTCAAAACCATAATTTTCTTGCTGCCGTTGCTCAAAATAACTTTGAAAAGCCACCATTTCTTTTCTCCTACTTGAACAGGGGCTATCAAGTTTTCTACAAAAGCTATAATTTCACTAAAATATAAATATGTATGTGAATAAAATATTAAATAAATGAAGCAAGAAAATGTTTTAAAATAAAAGGAATATTTACACATTTTGGTCTTTATTAACAATCTCAGCTAATTCTTCATTTGTGGTATATTCCATTGTTTCAGGCATTTTACAAATCTAAACCTGAAATATTTTTTATTAATATTTTTTAGATAAGAGATAATGATGTAATTAGGTCTCTCGTTATCAAAATACTTTAAACAATGATTTCTTGATGTTTTAAAAAAATTTTCAACTAATTTGCAAGGAGGTTATAGATAGTTGAAAATGCATGTGGTTTTTAAGCAAACCTGATTTCAAATATATATCAGAAAAACTTTTTCTTGCACGTACTCACGTAAAAAGGTTCAGTCTTCGCCAGTCGCCAGTGAAAGGGAAAAAGAAAAGAATAACAAATGCTATAATGACGCCACCTTGACCTAGACCTTCTTTTTCTTGTCGCGCATGTGCAATCGAGAGTATGACTGTCAAGTGTCAACGATAACCATGACGGACATGGTAATTAAAAAAATTGAGCATTCGGCTATGGCAGTTTAGCAATTTCAATTGCATCAGAGATAATATTTTTTTTTCATCTTTATTAATTAATTTGCCATGTATAATTAATTAATTTGACATGTATAACTAATTAACTATAGAAGCCTGCAATGGCTCGGTCGGTAGGGCGACGGACTCGCACCCGGTAGGCCCGGGTTCGATTCCCAGTTCCTGCTGATACAAGCACCTCTGAAAAAAGTTTCATGTGCTTTGTTCTCAAACACATTGCAAGCCTCCGTCGCGAATTAGCACTGATGGAGCATAAATAGAGCGACGTTAAAATAAAAATAAAAAAAAAAAAAAAAAACTAATTAACTATACTTTATTTATGGCGTAAATATTGCGTATAATAAAAATAATCACAATAAAATAAAACGAAATCTAATGATATTTAAATTTCCGCGCCATTTCAAACCTTAGCTAATCAGAATGCCGGATGTCGGCGACACATTTTATCCATCATTCTTTTAAGAGAGGATTTTAAGAGAGGAAAGTAGCTGGTAAACATTTTTTAATCGCTCATGGATTTTGCAAGAGACTCTTATTTATTTAAGTAAGTTTAAATAAATCATTCGATATTAACTATCGATATAAGAGATGAAGTAATTATATATACTAACTAAGAAGCGGAAGAATGACATTGCCCAGACGTCGATTGTGTGGCTATATATCCGTTACTCTTACTCGTTTTTGAAATATAAGTCTGGAATATGAATCTGATCATGATGATCATATTCAATATAATCATTAAATTTTGGCTAAAGTCGTCGTGGATAGACGAGCCTATCCTCTTGTTAAAATAAAATTTATTAATTAAAATCAAAAGTGTTTTATAAATTGTCCAAATTTTCAATAGTTTTGATATTTTATAGAACGGTATAATGTTTCATCGGAAGATTTTCGAATTCGAAATCACTCAAGAACACAGTTGTTACTTACATTAGTAGCAAATGAATTATCATTACTGTAAGTATCAATATCATGATTTTTTTAATACTTAGCTACATATAGGATTGTAGTAGTTATGAATATTTATAGCAAAGAATACCATTATTAAATAAAAATAAATTTTTGTCTATTGAGAATCTGCAAATGACGACTTTTAAAGAGAAAGAGCGTATATATCAAAAAAAAAAATTTTGAGAAACATACATTTAAAATGTTAGATTTGTACAAGAACAAAATAAATAACGAAAACGTTTTGAAGCTCTTATAGGTATCAAGACAGGCTATAGTCCTATAGTATCGAGAAGTTAACAAAGAATAAGTACAAATTATAAAAAAACGTTTTGTGATGTTCGTATCACTTATAATATAATTAATAGTTTGTACTCTCGTGGTCTTAAGTAAAGTTTCAAGGAAAGTCAAACTCTGCCCTAGTTTCTTATGGTGCGAATTATCCCATAAGCAGAGCTGAAGTCTTTCTTATAAAGGATATAATTCAGCCCAAGTTTCTTATAGCGCGAAATGTTCTATAAGTTGAGAATGAATTACACAGGCCTGCAAAATAGAGAGTCGTCACTGTTCTTTTACAACTTACGGTCATTTCCGAAGTAATTTTTGGCGTAGAATTCGAATCCGTCATCAGAATTTCTCCATCACGTCAGGTTTTTGAGTAATCGTCCCCTAAAGGTCGAAAAAACACGTTTTTTGGCCATATTCAAGGCTTGATTACATCGTGAGTTTATATTCTTTTCAGAAACGGTTGACGGCATCTTAAAGAAGCACTCTTATCCTTCAAAACCCATTTTTCAAATTTAAGATATCATTTTTTTTTATCAAGATATCATCAATTGAAATTTGCCATTTTTGAGGTTTCACCATGAGCTTAAAAATTCGGCCAATTGTCCTGGAAGAATACGATATATTTCTTAGTATTTTTTTTTATAGTGATTCTAGAATCATTATAAATATATTTCTTAGATTCTAGAATCTCTGATTCTAGAATCATTATAAAAACAAATACTAAGAAATATATCGTATTCTTCCAGGACAATTGGCCGAATTTTTAAGCTCATGGTGAAACCTCAAATTTCCATTGATGATATCTTGATAAAAAAAAATGATATCTTAAATTTGAAAAATGGGTTTTGAAGGGTAAGAGTGCTTCTTTAAGATGCCGTCAACCGTTTTTGAAAAGAATATAAACTCACGATGTAATCAAGCCTTGAATATGGCCAAAAAACGTGTTTTTTCGACCTTTAGGGGACGATTACTCAAAAACCTGACGTGATGGAGAAATTCTGATGACGGATTCGAATTCTACGCCAAAAATTACTTTGGAAATGACCCTCAGTTGCAAAAGAACAAAACCTTGCAGGCCTGTGTTATAGGAAAGGAAAGGTTTTGTTCAGTTAATTACAATGAGACACAGAACTTAGGTATTAGCCAAGTTTATTCAATCTCATGCGCTCACTTTCCAAGGCTTGGAGTGAATGCCAGCCTGTGCAATAATCAGCGTATTTATACACAGATTTTCCCGTCTATTTTCGCAGGAGAGTTCTCTTCGAGAAGTTTTCGAATCTTCGAGAAATATTCGCAAATTTTGAGAAATGAATTTTCTTAATTTACAAGTAAATAAACATCAATACGAAAGTTTTAATACATGTAAACTTTACATTATTAGTTACTGGTCGATTTAGTGTCATTTACACTTATCACAAATAATATCGTTAAAAGTTATTAATTAATGAAGTTAATTAATACAATATTACAATATTTACAATAGACCAATATTAAATTTTTACATAACTTTATTGTTTATTAATTTTAGAAGTAATCTCTAAAAAGAAATACGCAAATTAGTTAATAACATTTGAATTATTTTAATATTTGTAATAAATTTTTATATTTGTAACGATTTTTTCTATAATCTTATAATGTAATTACAAGATTAATTATTTACGATTTATAAATTATAAAGCTATCATTAATATGTATAAAATTAACGCTTACTTCTATACAAAACTTTAAATAAATTATTGATTATTTATTTATTAATAACAGTTATTTATTAAACTGTTATTAAGGGAGTTGAGTACCTACAAGAATTAACGAACAGAAAAATCTGAAACTTTGCAGAGCGTTAGAATGTAACAAATTATGTACGTAAACCAATTTTCGGGAGCCTAGGTGGATTTTTATAAAAGATATTCGTACTTTCATTTTCGGTCGTTACAAGCAAATTGAACACGTGGCCTTATGCGGAGTCACAGAGTTTTACGCATAAGATCGTTGATATCTTTTTAATTGACGAACAGATTTTAATGATATTTGAAAAGTAGATAGATAAGATATCCTAGAATACTTATCAACTTTAATAACATAGAATGGTGAGCTCTATCAGTAATAATTATTACGATAACTACTGTAAATAGCTGTTTTTAGCTTGTTTGGTTACACATGTGGCAACGTCGCATACGCAGTTAACACTTCGTAGTGACTAAGTATTAAAATTTGTTTGAAAGATTGGATTTTTAATATATAAAATTTAATATATAATTATTCGTCTAATACATTATTGTAGTAAGAATATACAAAAAAGCTTTATTTCTATATATAGCGACATACATGTAAATATTGTTCCATGCAATATTGATTCATGTGCGACTAGTACTTACACACGCACGTGCACACAAGTTAACAAAACGCGACGTTGCCAGATCGACTACCGCTGTAGTCAACCTGAGTGTTTAGCTCTTACTTTACTAGGCGGGTAGGTACTCAACTCCCTTAATGAAACCAGTTCTTACTCATGTTTTTCAGATATTCATTTTGAATATGGAGTATTCACATATTTCTAATAATTAATATTTATCATGTAATAAACAAATTAACTTTGCAAATTAAAATTCATTATTATTTAATAATTAAACGCAATTCATATTATTATAATCTAAATCTATGTACTAAAATCTATATAAGAAATGCTTTGTTGGCATATAAATGGCCTACATCGTGCGCCCCTTCTCTCTCTTCGACATTGGCAAGGGCTCATGGTAGGTATCTGACGCACGTATATTTTTCGTGAGAGAGAGAGAAAAAAAGAGAGAGAGAGACAAAGATCATACCCACCACTATCACTGGAGGATTTGAATTAGCTGTTTTTCATTTTAACGTTTAAGACGATTTATTACTTAAAATGCATTGAAACAATTACTGGTGGTCTTTTTAAGTGTAATTGCACAATTCAAACAAAGAAAGTGCATTGAAAACTGTGTATTTAATTTTTCACTACAGATTTTTTAGGTTAAACGGCCAGAATAAAATATGCATCAAAATTTTGTTCTAGTCTAGATTGCCATCTTATTTTCAGATGATCATCTTTTATTATCTATACGCTATGTATTTGCATATGCGTACGTATAATACACATACACACACACACATACACACATACACAGGGTGAGGAAAAGGTATGGAAACCCCGGAAAATTCGGAAAATCGCATGAGGTTAGTCATGAAACATAGGCATACCCTATGTAACTTTTAACAAGGAACCCAACGGTGATCTCTGATTTGACCTTGAACCTCATTTTCAAGGTTATTTTAAGGTCAACCTTATTTTTTCATACGGGAACCCCTATTTTTATACTGGAATCAAAAAGAGCCATAAATTTTACGGATGGGAACGATTAAAGTCCGAAGATATCGTAACTCCTAATCCTCCTTTTAGCGCTATCCAGGAATAACGACGTGGACGTAGAAGGAATCTATTCCCTTGGGGGTGCTTCTTAATAGTGAGTTCCCCTTACCTGTCATTTCAGGGTGCTTTTTAATAGAGA